ACTAACACATCACCTTTTGAGAGAAAACACAGCGCGTTAGATTAGGCGGTTCACCAACGTTAGCTATGTTGGCTTCTTATCCTCCTTGCTGCAAACCTGAGCCAAGGTAACTGACCTCCCCCTCTTCCTGTCTTTGGCTTACCTGGAATTTCTGTAGGTTGTGCAATTTTAGAAGGCATTTGTGCAGCTGCGGACGATCAAGTCCCTTGAAAATCAGCTTGCCTATACTTACATAGCTGATACTCTAAGGGAGTTGGCCCACAACATAAAAACAAATTAAGTTTATTTCAAGAAGCCACTTACGTGCCCCAAATCTGCTTTTAGTGCAGTGGGGTCTCTGCGCTACCTCAGCCATAGAACATCTCCTACTTACTTATTTTTTTTAAGATACCATTAGCATTAAACAGCATTAGAAACTAAAATCTTTAACACAAATTACAGGTAGAAGTAATGCCATGTTCCCCATGCACACATTTAGACGCGGGGAACCCCTCTAAAGATACGAATGCTTGTTTCCACTGCTGTTCACTTTAGCCTTTCTGTTGGAAATAACACGATGAAGGACTCCAATGCATTTGCTGTTCTTTTACTTTTCCTAAAATTAGACTGTATGTGCACAAGCAATATGTAATTTATGAAGCCAGGTGCAAAAACAGAGAATTAAATTTGAAGATCCCATTTTACATAAACACAAGTATTGCCAAGCTTTTCGGTATCAGCCCAGATATGAGCTTCCTTTCCAGCATAAAGGTTGAGATGTTCTACTAAAATATTATTTTCTGTGTTTGAAGTACAGACTCAGGAGAGTGTTTGCGTATCAAGCCTTGAGCTCTTTATCAGTCCCACCAAAGTAGGTGGGGCTCTAGAACATTCCTTGGACTAAGCTTTGTCCAACCCAGTCTCAAAAAAAGCAGCATCTAGTATTAACGTGTGGCTACCAAGTGAAGTTCTCACCCAACTTTGGACCTTCACAAGGTATTGCTAATCCCCGCTGGACTTTCAGAGCTCCATTTAAAAAAAGAAAAGCAGTTCTTAGACTTGCCTTGCTTCCAGGCTCTCTAGAGGTGCCCGTTCACCCTCCATCAGCTGTAAAGGGGACCAGGATGACTGGAACAGATGTGGACACTTGAAAGTAAGTGGCATTTATCTCATCTGTCAGCCTGAATGCACGAGAGAACCATTCTTTTATCAGGACTCTGTATGTCTTGTTTCTGGTGTCTTGTGAAAATGCTAAGATAGCAGGAGCGCTAAATGCTGAGAAAAAGAGACTTCCATTCTACTAAATGCTTACCACATTCGGTTTTAGCAGAGAAACGTAACTGAATGCAAGGTGCGGGCTTTTTTCCCCCACTCCTATTTAAAAGCACATCTACCCTTAACATTTCTAATACCTTGTCATAACACCTGATGCTCTCTGTCAAATCCTAGAAGCATTTCCCTTTTCATGATTCATTAACAGTCTGAAGATTTTAAGAGGGGAAAAAAGCAAGCAAAGTTTGTGTGTTAGATGCTCTTGCCTGGCTACACGCCAAAAGCCACAGGCGTGATCTGGTGACAGCACGCTGTTCTGGTCACTTCAGTCTTTTGGTGACTGTACGACTGGATTTGTGATTTTATCAGATTCCTTATTTTAAAGCAGTGAGAGAATAGATTGGTTTTATTGGCCTGAAGATCACACATGCATGCTTGAGCTGGAAAGGACATCAATGTGAGCTTGCTATCTAGAGCCGAATATTCAGTAAAAGATTTCCTGTCTGCTGCCCACACCATTATTGCATTTGTCACGTCCTGAACAGCTACAGCACTCGCAGCGTTTGTCGAGCCACCTCCTGTCTTCGTAAGGCAGTCTGGACGAGGCAAGCTGTGCGCCAACATTACCATAAGCAGATAAAAATACCCAAATCCTTATTGTCTACTTCAGGAGAAATGCATATGGACATGACCTCCTCCTTCTCCAGGTCCCTGACGCTGCTGCTAGAGGACATTCCTGCCAGCATGAGACATCCCAACAGGCGCTGGGCTCGGGAAGACCGCGGAACCTCAGGTGACCAGCAGCTGAAAAGTGAGTCTGCCTCTAGAGGTAAAAGTTAAGTCTCATCTTTTTGCAATCCCACAGAGTTGAAAACTTTCAGCGCTCTTAAAGAATTTCTAGGTATCACTCAGGATTGAAAAAACCTGGTTTCTACCCCTTTGAAGTTCAAAGTAACAGCATCCAGCAACCCACGTGCTGGCAGCAGCTCCAGTGGAATAAGCTACTCCTGGTCTGTCTGGGCTCTGCAGCAGATCCCTCTTGTGGCAGCTCAACTCATCTTTCCCATCGCTCTTTACAACACTAACATTATGAGAGGAAGATTCTTTTTAAAAATTCACCTGCCATTCAACAAGGTCCCAAATGAGATTGTTTATTTAAAGCAGTGTCACCAACACCGAGCTCCGGCATCTGTTGCAAAGAGACTGTAAAAGCTGTGAGAAATACTTACCTCCCATGTGCTGCACTGAACAAACGAGTACAGCTTGCTTTTGAAGTCCAGAACAATAGTTTATTTTGCTACGGCATAATATTCAGCAATATATTCCTGAACAAGAACGAGAGTAACAAAGGAAGTGGCACAACTAAGCAGTTTGCTCCTCAATCATACAGACTACACCCCCCTGGAGTCCTCTCACCTGTGTCCTCACCATACCAGTCGCTGTGAATGTCCATCATGGAACTCATGGCTACCCCCGCATCCTCTGGCCTACCCTCAAAGCCCCGGACAAAGTGATGAACCACATCATCCTTTCTCTGAGCTGAGCTGTTGCGCAACAGGGCCTCTAGGAATTGTTTCATGTGATAGTTATTGCAGGCCAGGTCCATCGCCTGCCCGCCGTGCAGCCCCTCTTCCATCTGCTCGAGGGACAACGCAGTCGGATACTGCGGCAGCCGTTCCCCCACTTCCACCTCTACTTCATCCGAGTCAAACTCGACTTTGGGTTCCACCCCCTTGGGCAGCGAAGAATTAACATCATCCGGAGAGTCGCTGCTTACGGGGTCCCTGACCACCAGCTCCAGGGGATGGCAGCTGCTGCATTCACCACAGGGAGGATCTCTCTGGCAATCCGAAATCCTTTCCTTTTCCTGCAGGGAAGAGACAGAGGCAGAGCACTGGCTCTTTGAGCCGTACGAGGTGCCCTCTCTCGCAGAACTAGCGCTCCCGCTATCAGCCTGATAGAAAGCGGCTTCTCTCTCTATTTTCCTGCAAATATCTAACGATGACCTTATATACGTTTTGCAGAAGTTGACCACATCGGTCATCTGCAAATAGCTAGCCGCAGACATCACCTCGATAACATTCTCCCCACAGAGATCTAGCTTCCCGGAATAAAGGAAATCCAGGATGATGGAGAAGGCCTCCGAGGTGACGATGTCCAGCGAGGCGGTGCTGTGGCGGCCGCTGTCTTGGATGTAGTGAATCAGCAGGGCTCGGAAATAGCCGCTGTTGGCGAATAAAATGTTTTTGTGGGCTTTGAAGATCCTCCCCTCCACGATAATGCTGCAGTCGCAGAAGAAGTCCCTCTTGCGCTGCTCGTTGAGCTCGCCCAGAAGCTTGGTGTAGTACGACTGCATCTCCATC